CTTTCCAATAGACTCATGTTGGGGAAGGAATGGGGGCTTCACCATCAAGCAGATTCTGACTTTAGTCCCTACAAGACCATTTGCTAATCTTGTGACCTTAAGAATGCCCCTCAACCTCTCTCAGCCTCAGCTTCCCCTTTTGTACATTGTAGAAGACATAAACTATTTCACAGATTTTTTGGAAAATGAAATAAGTGAGGTTATTTTTCTTTGCTCCCATGAGGGAGGGAAATGGTGGATATCATTCTTCTGAAAGTTTTAAGTTCAAAAAATTGAGTGGGCCATTTTAATTTGGAGTTGAGTAGGAAAGGGGTCCAAAGGTTTAACCAATAACTCCAACCCAGACAGTATTACCTCTGGGGAATATTAGCTAAAATACACATGAAGGTGCCCACAACCTTTCTCTGCCTTGTCATTACAAAGACATTGAAGAAGCAGTGAGACAGAATTCATATAAATACCTTGCTGTATTAGGATAAGGAGGGGACCTAACATTTCCTACTAAATACCAACTTGTACCATGCTAGGTGTACTAAACACAATTTTGTTTGATTCTCTCCAGCAACCCTAGGGAACAGACATAATATTTGCATTTGTACAGATAAGGAAATCAAGGCTCTGACAAATTATGTAGCTTGCTCAAATTTACACATAAGTTTAAGAATGAGGATTTTTATCTGTATCTTTTTCAATTTAACTCAAAATTTATTCCAGTATCTTAAGGGTTTCTATAGGAGTCACACTGTAGGGTTTCTCTAGGGTTGTATTAGTCAGTTCAGGCTACTATAACAAAATACCATAGACTGAGTCATTTCAAAAACAGAAATCTATTTTGTTCACTGTTCTGGAAGCTGGGAAATCTAAGATCAAGGTACCAACCGATTGAATTTCTGGTGAGAGTTCTCTTCCTGATTACAGATGATTGCCTACTCACTGTGTCCTCACATGACTCAGAGAGAAAGAGACCTCTCTGGCATCTCTTCTCCTAAGGACACCAATCCTTTCATATCAGGGCCCCACCCTTTTGACTTCATTTAACCTTACTTCATTATAGGCCCTACTCCAGATACAGTTACATAGGAAGTTGGGACTTTATCATATGAATGGGTGGGGGGGAAACACAATGAGTCTGTGGCAAGTATCTTGCATGAATTTGTATGTTATATATTTGTTTTTTGTTTTTTAAACATTTATTTGAGAGAGAGAGTGTGTGTGTGTGTGAGAGAGAGAGAGCTGTGGGAGGGGCAGAAGGAGAGGGAGAGAGAGAATCCTCCAGCAGACTCCCCACTGAGCTCAGAGCCAACAAGGGGTTCAATCCCAGGACCCTGAGATTGTGACCTGAGTTGAAACCGAGAGTCAGACACTTAACTGACTGAGCCACCCAGGCACCCCTGCTATATATTTGTTTTGAGACTCTCCTCTGTTCTACCTCAGATATTCCCCTTCTTTTTCCCAATGCAGTGAGTTTTTAAATTCTACAGATAATCTCTCCATATCATTTGTCACGTTATTATATATCCTTAGATCAGACCTTCATCAACTCTCCCTTTGAGTGTTATGAAACATGCTAACAGATCCGAGCTGCCAGGCTTCATCTTCTCAAATGAATCCATCAGACAACCACACTGCAGACTGCCCAGGTCAGGCTCTCGAAGTCCACAGCTGAAAATCTTTCATTTGCTGGACACATACACCCCAAACCCATCTGACTGGCACTCATTGCCTTCCACTGTCAGGTCCTGGGTTCCCTTTCCAACTTCCATCTCCTCCTTGTAAAGCTCTTTTTCTAGTCATTAATAGAACTCGCACCAGGTGTCTTGCTAACCATTTGTTTGCTTGCTCACTTACTCATTTACTGAATAAGTATTTATTGAGTGTTACTAATGCACTAAAGAGTGTGCTACACGTTGAACACACAGCAGTGAACAATGCAGACATTTCTCCCCACATGGAGCATATCTGACCAGGAGAGAGAGACATTAAGTGAGCTCACAGGAATTGCTTCAATGCATACCAAAGATCCGTTATTCTCCAATCCCCATATTTTTATTAAAGTTGCCCCATAAGAAAATATTTGGAAAATATATATCTGATAAAGATCTTATTTATAGAACATATAAAACTGAACCATAAAGAAACAACCCAGTTTAAAAATTGAAGAAAAGATCTAACAGACACTTCAACCGAGACTGTATACAGGTGGCAAATAAGCCCATGAAAAGACACCCAATATCATTTTAGGAAAATGCAAGTTAAAAACACAATAAATTACTATTACACATGCAATAAAATCGCTAAAATAAGAGACTGACACTATGAAGTGTTTTGGAGGATGTGCAATAGCTGGGACTCTCACACATTGCTGGGGGGAATGCAAAATGGTCTAGTCACTTTTTGTGAAACAGTATGTGAGTTCCTCAAAGAGTTAAATGAGCACTTACCACATGACCTAGTAATCTCAGTCCTAGACATTTACCAAAGTAATGAAAACATATGACCATATAAAGATATATACATGAACTTAATAGGAATAGCAACTGGGGTTCCTGGGTAGCTCAGTCAGTTAAATGTCCAGCTCTTGATTTCAGCTCAGGTCAAGATGTCAGAGTCCTGGGATCGATCCCCATGTCAGGCCCCATGCTCTGTGGGGAGTCTGCTTGAGGATTCTCTCCATGACCTTCTGCCCCTCCCCCCCTTCTCTCTCAAAATAAAAATAAATAAATCTTTCAAAAAAATAAAATAAATATGTATATCAACTTACACACAGTAGTCTAAAAGTAGAAGGCACCTAAACGTCCATCATCTGCTAATTGGATCAACAAATTGTGTGCTCATACAGCCAGAAGTCATCAATAAAAATGTCCAAACTACTGATACTTACAAAATGAATGAATGTCAAAAGCATCATGCTAACTGAAAAACAAAAAAACAAACAAACAAACCAGGAACAAAGTCTACCTGTGATTCCATTTATTTCAAATTCTAAAAAAGGCAAAACTGTAGTGATAGACAGTATCAAGAGGCAGAGAGTGGGAGAGGTATTGACTTCCAATAGGCACATGGGAACATTTTGGGGTGAGAGAGCTGTTCCATATCATGTTTGTGATGGTGATTATGCAACTGTATATGTTTATCAAGTCTTATTACTTCTTTTTCATTTTATTAATTAAAATTTTAAGGAGTAGAGCCCATTTTAGAGAAAACACATGAAGACTTTAAGGATGGGGGCACTCCCTAATATTTACCTAAGTCAGAATATATACATTAATCTGTGTTAAACTTAACCTCTCTTTATTTTATTTTTTTAATTTTTTTTATTCTTATGTTAATCCCCATACATTACATCATTAGTTTTAGATGAAGTGTTCCATGATTCATTGTTTGTGCATAACACCCAGTGCTCCATGCAGAATGTGCCCTCCTCAATCCCCACCACCAGGCTAACCCATCCTCCCACCCCCCTCCCCTCCAGAACCCTGTTTGTTTTTCAGAGTCCATCGTCTCTCATGGTTCGTCTACCCCTCCGATTTCCCCCACTTCATTCTTCCCCTCCCGCTACCTTCTTCTTCTTTTTTTTTTCTTAACATATATTGCATTATTTGTTTCAGAGGTACAGATCTGAGATTCAACAGTCTTGCACAATTCACAGCGCTTACCAGAACACATACTCTCCCCAGTGTCTATCACCCAGTCACCCCATCCCTCCCACCCCACCCCCCACAAACTTAACCTCTCTTTAATCAGTACCGTGGTCATCCCTCTTCACTAGTACCTACCTGACTTCCTTAAAAATTGTGAGTGTATTTGCCCTTATGTTGGTGAGTTTATGAGCCCCCATGCTGGAAGGGTAGGCTCTAGCCACCTTTTTCCCCATACACATATCAATATAGCACTTTGCGCAGAATAGGATACAATCAATACATGCTACCTGGAGATGGCTGTGTTCCGTAACTGTTCACCTTTCACCCTCAAACCAAATATTTATTCTGAGAGAACCCTCTAGTCTTAAAGAATCACTACCTTTAAGTTACTGAGATGCTAGCTTTAGGGGGGTGTTCTTCTAAACAAGAGTTTGGGCTAAATGACCTCCTAGGAAAGATCAACTCTACGCAACAGATAGAGAAGAATCAAGCAAAAATGAGGGGAGGTGGAGAGTCACCTGGAGTCTGTGGGCTTTATGTCTTGTGATTCTATTCAGAGAATATGAGAAAGAAGTAATGTGTGTTGTCTATGTAATAAACAGCTAAAATACTGATTAATAGATTTTCACTTTGATACATGTATTGAGAGGTTTTATCAGGGGAGGGGATCCCACTGTGAAGACATACTGTATCTTTTTTAGAATGATACTGATGCATCTCCATTCAGAAAATACAGAGTTTTGGGGCACCTGGGTGGCTCAGATGGTTAAGCGTCTGCCTTCGGCTCAGGTCATGATCTCAGGGTCCTGGGATCGAGTCCCGCATCGGGCTTCCTGCTCCTTGGGAGCCTGCTTCTCCCTCTGCCTCTCTCTCTCTGTCTCTGTCTCTCATGAATAAATAAATAAAATCTTTAAAAAAAAAAAAAAGAAAATACAGAGTTTTTATGTAAACTGATTCATTTAATAGGGGCTCCTTAAGGACTAAATCTTATTTGTCATCACATCCTCAGAGTCTGTCATGACATATAGAAGCCACTTAAAGATATTTGTCAAATGGATGAATAATTGAGTGAATGCGTATTTCAACTAACTCACCTGACCTACCCATGAGAAATAAAACCCAAAATTATGTGTACACACCCCTTGTCACTGAGACGTGATAAGCTTTGCCTTTTCTTTTTTTTCTTCTTAAATACTGTTATCTATTCATCTGTATATGTAATGTAGTGTGTATTGGACAGAGATCGCAAAGGTAGAAAGAGTTAGCAAGAAAGCACAAGAAGAAGGAAAAGGAGGAGGTGCAATATTTATTTAGATGAGAATGGAAAAACATTTTGTTAAACTCAAAAAAAAACACCTGTATACCTATTTGATTTTCATACTAGAATCATATCCAATTCCTTCTCTTTAATATCTGTAATAAGCCAAGATCATGCTAATACCAGCTTCGCTAGCTAATACTTATAAGCATACATCATGAGTGGAGCTCTGTACCTAAGATCCAATCTTCACAACAGCCTTATGGGGAAGAGCCCATTGGCTTCTCTTTGCTTCTCTACCTTCTTTTCCTGAAATGACCAAATGTTTTCTATGAATGGAATCAAAACAGTGATTTGTCTTCAGGGCAAAAGCCATATTAAAAATTCAAAGCAACTTTCAGTTCTAGCCAAAGATCCATATTACTATTGTTTCCACAAATCCTTTAATTGTGCCTACAGCCATAGACTAGTTATCAATGCTCTCTGTTCGTTCAAGGCATCCATATGTTTTTCTGTGTTCTTAATCAGAATGGATGGTAGCCTGCCATGATGCACAACTCCAGCGGGGCACCATTTAAATCTTAGTTTATATGGATGATGCAGCAGGAAGTAACAGGATGTTCAACCTGGACAGCATTCAACATGGCGGCCCTGGATAAAAGATAAGAATTCTCAAAGTTGTCTTCTTTTTAAATCTGCACGACTTTTTTGCTCCATTTCCTCATTTGATAGTATAATAACAATGATACATCAACTCTAATGAGTGAACATTGTGCACCAGTTTCTTTGCTTGCATTTGAATTCCAAGCCCCAATATACAGATTTCAAGTAATTGGGCATGAAAGTTAATATGGTTCCTATAATTCTTCCTGACATTCATTTTTCTTTATGCATTTTCTCGGATTGCTTGAGTTATTCCCTCAGGCTGCATTGGAGGAGTTGCTAGGAGCAGCCTCCTTTCTCTGTGTTGCACTCTGTTGAAAAAAAAAAAATTCTCATCCCAAATTGAGTGATGATGATGAGGCTTCCAGGACATTAGAGGCTGTTCTGTTAGAAGAGGTCATCAGGAGCCAAAACCAATAAAGCAAAGGAAAAAGTTGGTATCTATGAACCAAGCTCTCAGCAATGTGTGAAATCGTCAGGTCAAACAAGGACTTGGCTCAGCTGACAAAGATTCACCTCCAGACACCTGCAAAAGTTTCTCTCGCTGACTTCTCCTTGACAGGACTCCCAGTCTTTGGCATGCCCTGCCTCTCTTGTTTATTTTGCATATATTTCAACTCAAGTTACGAATATGACTAAGAAAAATCTTCTCCCTGCTCTCCTAGGCATTCATCTGAAGTCAGGTGTTCTTTTGTCCCCTTCATGCTAAATTTAGTTTATTAGTCAATTCACGTAACATTTATAAGGAGTAGAACCACTGCTTCCAGGGTAGATTTTTTCTTTTGTTTCTGTACAACTCTAGAGTTCAAGGCTGTGGACATTGTCAAAATACTTGACCTAGAAAAATAGTCAAGGCAATGCACGATCCTGCTGCTTGGATTGGGGTGATAAATTGCACCAACCAGGCTTGTTTTGCTTCTAGGACTTGGTGTTTCAGGCAGAAACTGGCTTCCTTCCCTTGCCACTGGCATTTGAAATTAAAGAGGATGATACAGCTCAAGGCATATTAGTACTTCTTACATGTATCTTCTGAACTACTTTATATAATCAAAGCATGGAAATATTTTTCTCTGCCAAACAAATTAAAGTTTTTTTTTCCTACAAATTAAAGTTTAGCAGAGCTGTACAATAACTGGAATTACAACTTGGAAATGCGGCAACACTTAGAAATTCTGTTCTACCCAATCATGAGTTTTGTATGGATTTTCTCTTTTCTTTCTTTTCTTTTCCTTTTTTTTTTTTTTTTTTTTTGTATCTAGTTTTTCTCAAATGCTAAATTTACTTCTGGAACAAAGCTCAAATCAAGATTACTACCATTCTAAATGTCTACCATTTGCACACAGTTAATGCCTTTTTACTACAGGATTAGGGTCTTAAATTAGCTACCCAAGGGCCACATCCTCCTCACTGGCCAAACCCAGCCTGCAAACATATTACCATTTGCCCACGGTTTTTTTTGTTTTTTTTTTTAATAGAGTGACATATAAATGTGGAAATTGCATATATATTTTGGATATCTGCCTTTTCTTTTAAAAAAAATAAAGAACCTAGTTAGAATTGGATGACATTCTTGCATTCTACATTTACTTATTCAACAAATTTTTCTTGAGTACATACTATTGGGCAGGTACACGGCTTAGGAGCTAGGCATAACTCAGTGGGGGAAACAACTGCAAACCAAAAATCTCTGTCTTCATGGAGCTTCTGTTCTAGTGGGTATTTACCTGGAAGAAAAACCAGCAGTTTCCCATGTAAGATGGGCCACTTTTTTTCTCATTTCTGTATAGCCTCTACTCCTGCTTTCTTGGAGTTTCCTTCACAAATTTACACTACCTTTGTACACTCCCATCTTCTGGCCTCTAAGTTTGTAAACTTCCATCTAAAGAGACATCGGCACTGTGAGTTTCTACACTGAAGGTCACAGCAATAGAGGGAAAGGCAGCCTGGCCTAGAGAGCCCAGGTTCAAACCTTGGCTCCGATTCTTGCATGCTTTGTAATCTTGGCACATCGTTTAATGCTCAGTTTCCCCATCTGTGAAATGGGGATGGTAATAGTCTTTAAGTCATGCAGAGGGTTAATGCTTAAATGTGCTTAGAAAATGTGCATGGAGAGTGTTATATGAAGATTTTCAAAATTATAATGAAGTCTTTCTTTTTTTCAAATATGGTCAAGAGAAACAGACACAAGATACAAAGCTGAAATCCTCACTGCAGAATTATTTACCCAGCAAGAAATCTTCCTCAGAATCCTGAGATATACCCTCTGATTCAAATATTTCATCACCATGAAATGCCCACAATGCTTTTAAATGTCTTTTAAACATGTAATGCATGGTGTTCTCACCAATAAATTCAGAATATTTCAGAACTATTCTTTATGATTAACTAGAGAATGCTGCCATTATTTATAAAATCACTAGCTGTTTGCATGACCCAATTTCCACTCAGGAGGTAAGGGCAGCATTAACTTGAGAACACACTCTGATGCACTCCAGCTTGTATAGACCACACAGAATGAGGCCATTTGCTTTAATAAACAAACAAAATAAAATTTAAAAATGTTCCTTTTCTCTTAAACATATCCCTTCCTCTCCATTTCTTACAGAGTCCAAATCCTCATCATTTCAGACTCAACTCACCTGAGAAGCAATTACTATGTCAGACATTCTGCTAGGTGTCGTAAATACACCGTTTTAGTTAAACATCATGGAATCTTTGAATATAATTATTTTTTTCTTCCTTTCCTGATGAAAACAGGGAAGTTTAGAGCAGTGAAATGACTGTCCCAAGTCCACATAGCCTCTTGTCACTATGTTAGACTCGGAAGCCTGGTCCCCTAACCCTGGATCCCATGCCCACTAGGGTTGCTTTGGGCAACGGCCCTCTGAATCAGACCAGCTGCATCAGCATCACCTGGGACCTTATTAGAAATGTAGACCCTCACACCTCACCCCAGATCTACTGACTCAGCAGCTCTGTGGACAGGGCAAAGATGCTGAGTTTTAACAAGCCCTTTGGATGGTTCAGATGCCCACTCAAGTTTGAGGACACCGGACTTTGACTCATCTCGGCTGACCTTCATGACTTCAGTCTTTCCCCTGTCCTCTACCTAGCTCAGCCCTGCCAGGCTTTCCTTTCGTGAATGTAATTTCCATCACATCCCTTTCTTCTCGGAAACCTGGATCAGTCTCCCTTCCTGCTTTGTGAAAGCCAGATTCCTGTCCATTCAGGGTTCCTGTGGCTTCTACCCTAGGCTCTGGATGTCTAACATTTTTCTGCCCTTCAGGCCACTCAAATTAGACTGCCCGCTTTGCCATGAAGTGGCCACATCTCACCATTTTTGGGCCTTTGATTATGTTGCCCTTCCTTATCCTCAATTTCCTTCCCAAACTAGCTCAGAGTCCACCTCTCCCATTCATGTCTCATTGGGTGCCACAGTCCAGAATTCCCCCTACTAAAGAACTCGGGCCCAGTCTATCTCTCCAACCTCAATTCCTACCACTTCCCCTCCACTGTTCTGCTCAAGCCACACTGGCCTTCCTTCCATCACAACTTTTTGCTGTTATGAGCTCTTAGCAATTATTCCCCCCTCCACTACTTGGAACAGCTTCCCCCAAATCTGTCATAGCTGGTTCCTTCTCATCATTCAGACCTCAACCCGTATGTCACCTCCTAGGAGAGGCTGGTGTATCTGACCTCCCACTCCATAAGTCCCATGTCACTCTCTTAATGCCCGATTTTATTTTCTTCATGGCACTTACCACCACCTGCACTCATCTTATGCATGTACTTACACAGTTGCTCTATGTCTTTCCATTGTTTCATTCTTTGCTTCCATCCCAGTGCCTAGAACAGTGCCTGGCACGGAACAGGTGCTAAGTAACTATGTGCAGATGACTACATAAATCCTTCATCATCTACATCACACTGTATGGCCATTACTTCAAGACTATCCTATAGGGGGAGCTGTTTGTATTTTCGGTGTTCATCTTAATTCCTTCCCCCTGGACCATGAGGTTTTTGAGTAGTGATACTTGCCTTCTAAATTTTCTTGTCTTACGGGACACAGCAGAAGGCTGAAACAAACAAACTGTGTCGGTGTTTGTTTCTCCCTTCTTCAAACGGTCCCACTAAACACCATTGCACATAATTGGTATTTGTCTGATAATTGTAAGTTAAATGATATTTGAAGTGCTATAGAAGAGTTACACATTGAAACCAGGCCAATTATGAATCCCCACAGAAAATGATAATACATTTTGTAAAGTGACAAATAAACTCAACATTTAACTTTTGAAGGATAATCCTGCTATCTAATGCTGAGTGTATAAAAATTTCATTTGTCCATTGAATAATATCAATGTAAACTAATTTTGATGCCTGCTTCGTTTGTACCCACTATCAAACTAGGCAAATTGCATGCATTATCATGAATCTATTTAATCCTCATAGAACCCATTGAGGTTAGCTTTGCTATCACCTCTTTTAGAGGTTTAGAAACCGAGGATCATGTAGGTGGGAATTTACTTGAGGCTCTTCCAGATCTCACAGCTAATAATGCTGAAGCTGAGTTTGAGACCTCAGATTTATCTTATAATTCTGTCTATTTCATCACTTTGTAGTACATCTTCCATTTTATTTATCCCTGTGACAAATTAGAAATATTTTAATTAAATCAAAAGAACTGACGAAAGAACATTTGAGAAAAAAAAAACTAAAATCCAACCCTGTGGTTTGGATGTATGAAATACATGTTTAGTGGGTGGCTTAGTTGGTTAAGTATCTGACTTTTGGTTTTGGCTCAGGTCCTGATCTCAGGGTCCTGCGATCAAAGCCCACATCAGGCTCCATGCTCAGCACAAAGTCTGTCTGTCCCTCTCCCTCTGCTCCTCCCCCCCATAAATAATATAAAATTTTAAAATATATATTTTATATTTACATACATCTATGTATGGCTAGTTCTAAAATAGCAGTGGCCATAATACCAATATATATATATTTTTTAAGTAGGCTCCACACTGGACTCATCTCAAACCCAAGCCAAAATCAAGAAGAGTTGGACGCTTAACCAATTGAGCCACCCAGGTGCCCCCATAATATCAATAATTAAACAAATAAATTATTTGGAATCTCTTCATAGTTGCAGTTCTACCAACTTCTACCCCTACATAAGTTCATATTTTCCATACCAGGAAGCCAATCCTATTTGAAAAAACTGCAAAACATTGGTCCCGCCACCCAATCTTTGCAAACCATAGTAAAAGCTTACATTTATTTACTGCTGTCAAAATGTTTTTACATATATTATCTTGCCATTTCCTCAGACTTCACCCTAAGGAAGATGAAAATGTCTCTTGACAGATAAGACCATGGAGAGGAAGTATGGTCAAGGGTCTTAGCTCAAGATCTGCCTAAGATTATGGCAATGCCAGATCACCGAGTCCAATTCTATTGCCTCTTATCAAATGCCCTTTGTAGATCAAAACAAAAAACCAAACCTACTGACAGGTGCGTGGTGGAACTTCTGAGACACCAACACTGATATGAGGTCATTTCGAGCAGTGGGGAACAGGCTGCGCCATCTGACTAAGGCAAGGCACCGAGTGCCTGCCTCCTGCATCCCTCTCTCCTCTCTCTGAACCTCAGCTCAGGTCCTGATGGTTGGCTTTTGTTTCTTGGCTTTATCTATAAACACTTGTACCTCTCATCTTGTGATGGGAATACCCAATATTTGGCAGTGACCTTACCCTACTCCCCCTTGTCTCAGGGCTTGAATCCTAAAGCTACTTCTCTGACCCAGACCCACCAGCCTTCCCAGTTGGCTCCTCCCCTTTGCTTGGCGATGTTCACCACACATCTCCCCATCCAGAATGCCTCGTCCCAGCCTTTGCCTGCCATTGAATTTAAAGGTGACACTCTGTTGTGCGATTCACTCTAACAGTTACAGCAGAAGCCACCTTTTTTAGTTACTGTCTGAGCAATAACAGTCATAAAAGGACTGTGCAGTTATGGGTGCTGGAAACTTGATGACAAATTTAAAATACCAGTCATCAGAGAATCATAAGAAAGAAATCATATATAAACTTTTTAACTTAAAATGTATCTATAATTTGTCAACCTCTAGATATAAGGTCAAGGCCTTACTTCTGCACATGGGCCTGCCCATCAGAGTGCCACATCGCCATTTTGCATAAATCACACTTATTAGGCAGCATCCATGATTTTTCAGTGTCTACAAAGAGGAGCCAGAACTTAAAAACTTGCAGAGCAATCTCAGAAGAGAATCCATCTAAATTTTAATGATCTTTCCCAATCTTATACATTTGTCTAACTCATACCTAATTTAACAGCAATTACTTTTTAGCAAATAGCCTTCATCAAATCTTTCCAAAGCATTCAACTTCGTTCTCATAGACACAACATCTTGCTGTCTTCTAACAGTAATATTTCACCAGTTTACATAATGTTTAATGAAACTAAGCAATTATAGTAACAGATGCAACTAGTTTAAATAGAAATGGGGACAAATACACCTGGTTTTTGGGAAGCATCCAGCTCAATAGCAAGAAGCATAAGTCCGTGGGTGTCCTACTGAGCAGCCTACTCCCCCTCCTCGTAGGGAGAACTCCGCCCACCATAGAAACCAGAGGGGATGGTCACTGGTGAGCGTGGTGCGTCCTAAATGTGGGGGCTGGTTATCAGAGGCAGGTGGATATGGGCAGATTTATCTTTCTGTCATAGAATCAGGAACTGTCAGAGAGAGTAAGAAGTCTTCCAACAGTGTATGTAATTCAGATTTCCATGAACAAGCTTCTTAACAAAATCCATGGCAAGTTTGTTTTCAGAGACAGGGGGCTCATGAGCTACAAATAAGCCCATTTCATACTTGGACAGTTGTCATAGTTACAACATTCTTTTAAATAGTGAGTCAAGATTCTCCCCATTGTCGTTTCTAAATTCAACCTCCTTAAATGGAGAAGTTGCCAAACCCCTCCTGCTTTCACTCTTTCTTTTCTAGACACACTGTAGTTTGGGGTTATTAATTTCTCCCTTAACAGACTTGCCCAGAAATGGAACCAATTTAGCTCAGGACTGATCCACCAGAGCAGGAGGCAGAAGACTCTCAGGACACTCTGCTTTATGTTAGTATAAAGCATTCACCTACCTTCTTTCAGCTTTCACTCATATTGAGCTCATGGCCAGCCCAAGTTTCCAGCTTGTCTTTACCCAAATTGTTGTCGAACCAATTCTTTTTTCTTTCCTGCCGTGCTTTGCCAGTTTTTTTTTTTTCTCTTGCCACTGATTTTTAGCCCAAAGTTTGTGTTTATTTCACTTCATCAATGGTTGCTTAGTTGGGTATACAATGCTACTCCGATGATCATAACAGCTGATAACTAGGCACCAAGAACAGCTCTAAGCAGTGTCCATGCATCATTTAATCCTTCAAACAATTTTGTGAGGTAAGTACAATTTAACATACCCATTTCTCAGCGGAGAAAGCTGAAGCAAAGAGTATTTAAGTCTATAATATAACAACTGGTAGATGTGGGATACAATCCCAGGCAAGATGGTTCCAAGGACAGGACTCTTAAGCCCTACACACTGTACCATCTCTTGATTCATCTCTCTTCTTCAATATACTGGAATAGAATCATACTGGCTGCCAAGTAGCTTGGGTTTCTTCAGCCAAGAAACTGATAAACATTTTCCAAACATACCTTTGTTATCCTATCTCACTCTTCTTCTATTGGCTTTTCTGGGGAAGGATCATGCATGCAGGTTCTAGTGTAAGGACAAAACACTCCTGTGTTGAACTGGGTGCTCCGTTGGGGAGGGGGTCTTGTAGAATGCCACAGTAATGGACTCTGGGGTGGGAGAGACTTGAGTTCTGGTCCTATCCCTGCCCTACAGGCTCGGCTCTTTACTATGCTGACTTCAGTCCCTTTTATTTGTACAGTACAGAAAATGATACCAATCTAATGGGCCTTTGGGGAGGATCACATGCAACCACATTGGTAAAACCCTTAGCTAAGAGTAGGCACTCCAGTTGAAGTTTATCACCTTCCTGTCTCCTCCCGAATAGCAAAAGAAAAGCCCTGAATAAAAATACTTTCACAAGGGGCTGAGAAACATGGAGGAATGCACAGTACTCTCTTGAAGACAGAGGGTGTGAGCAGTGACAAGGTGACACCTTGGGCAGTTCTCCAGTGGAAAAAGAAGGCCTCCCATACCTTGGTGGCTGCTCTGCGGGGCAGAATGGGGCCCCAGAACTGGCTGTGTCTGGGCAGCTGGACCCGCCAGTGTGGGCTAGCTCTTCTTCTGAAGTCAGCATGCTGGTGGAGAGGGGAGAAAGAACACTTGTGTACAACTCAAAGGAATAATTAATCATCTTGGCAATTACGCTAGTCTCAAATCAGCTTCCTGCTGAGCTCCCTGTCACTGCTTCTCTTAATTTCCTGGGACCAGCAGTTCCATGTCCCTTCTTCAGGCGACCACCAACCAGGGAAGCAAATTAAGGATATCTTCCTCTATAGCCCATTGGAGCATATTTTAGATTAAAAAAAAAATGACAATATTAATAGGTAACTGATTTTTCACTAATGACAAAAGACTCCTACCAAGAACCTGGTTTGTGTCCAATAATGTCATTGGATTTTATTTTTTTATAAGTATTTTTCTCCTAGAGATTTTGGGGGTGGATATCTGTCCTGTTGCCCTTTGTATAGGAAACATGAAAGGCAACGAACATCTTTAGTGTATATAGTTTATACTTCATTTAGATATCATGGAAATCTGCTAAAGTTTATGAGTTTCTGAGTTCTGAGCAAAATGAGTATTTGGGAATTTGCATACCACCTTATGATTTTTTTAATATGACCATCTTTGCCCCAGGCCACATGCCCTGCAGCCAGGAAGAGGGGGTCGTGGGCATCTTAGCGTTCCCAGAGGCAACAACTCTTTTCCCATCCTCATTTCATTTCTGCATGATGCCTGTGGTTCTGTCATGGTAATCCCTTAGATGTGAGGACAGAGCTGGCTTGTTCTGTTTATATTCACAGTCTTACCTACCAGACACTGCTTAATACTCACATTTTAACTCCTTCTGTGCCTTTCAGATGATTCTGGAAGGCCCCAACCTCCATATTCTGATTTTGCCATTTGTCTACAGCTGGAAAGTCCCATTGGCCTTCTTGGAATACCTAATGCTGGTGACTGCCTATTTTAATTTATTTTTGCTTTGTTTGTTTTTGAACAACACTCTTACTTGAAATACTCCTGCTGTTTCTCTTAAACTGATTAACTAACAGATATACTATATGAAAGGTTATTTATCAGTCTGTGCTTTTATGTTTATTTTGCCCAGCTTTGGCATCTTTCTTTTCTTTCATTTATATTGTAATAGTAAGAAGGAAAAGTGATCAGTCTTTAGGTTAGTATCAGCAAACTTCAACCCTCTGGTTTGCCTTCGGGCCAATAAAGAAATTTGTTAAGTTGTACTACGGAAATATGACAAGAACTTCACTATTCTGGTAGAATCCACACCCGAGAAGATTATCCTTTGTTGTGGTTCTCAGCACAGATTTGAGTCAGGGGTGGCATCTTTGAGTAGACCTATTGGTGTTGTTCACATATGAGGTATCAGTGCTTATATGTTTAACATTGAATATTTTCAAAAGTAACTTCACAACTATAATTCTGTCTCGTTTTTATGCCCAAAGTCAACATACGTCTCAGTAAGGAGGGCCTCGTATGACAAATGAAGCAGAAAGAATGAGTCCAAACTAGGGGCGCCTGGGTGGCTCAGTCATTGAGTGTCTGCCTTCATCTCGGGTCGTGGTCCCAGGGTCCTGGGATCGAGCCCTGCATCGGGCTCCCTGCTCAGCGGGAGGCCTGCTTCTCCCTCTCCCACTCCCCCTGCTTGTGTTCCTGCTCTCGCTATCTCTCTCTCTGTCAAATAAATAAGTAAAATATTTAAAAAAAAAAAAAAGAGTGAATCCAAACTAGAAGTCCTGAGTTCAAACCATGGTTGTGTGATAGTGGACAAGAAACTTGACCTACGTGGGCTTCTATCTCATATCAAGTTCTTAATGTTGCATTCAGAGTAGAGACTTTCTACTCTTACTTGAGGTCATGTAACCAAGGATTGGCAGGACTCTGGTGTCCTTGTTCCTAGTACTCACCCTTGCCACACCAGACCATATTATTAAGATCAGGGTGGGGTATCTCAGCACCACATGTGGTGGTACCCACAGTTGTTGAAGGATTAAAGGCATTGGAGATGTCAGGGCAGAAGAGGGAGTGAAGAGGAAAGAGGAAGTCAGGGAAATAGGTTGTAGACCAGTAACTATGAGACAAGATTATAAATGCTATATATGGCTTAGAGGGACACAGAAAAGGGGAAGTAGTTCTTCCCTGGGAATGAGGGAGAGGAAAACCAAGAGAGCCAAGGAGGAGAGAAAATAATTGAGCAGTGTCACCCTATTAGGCAGAGGGGAAAGGGATAAATGAAATAAAATAATACAATGACTAAAGTGAGCATAACCAACAGTCAACTGTGAACTTTTCCTTTTATGCATTGATTCACATTAAGGAGAAAAGTGACCCCCAATGGAGAAAAAAATACTATAGACTTAAGCAGATAGAAAACAAGTCAGAAAAAAATCCCTCCCTCTTCTTAATCTCCTCCATAGTCTATGTTTGTGGCAATAAATACCAACAATTCATAGCCATAAAATGGACTCTTTAGAACTATAAGAATCTAAATCATCAAAGAAAGAACCAAGCAGGCTCAGTTTACTGTGACTGCTGAGGTGGGGAAGAAAACAATTTTGATAATCATGGCAATGGGAACAAAGGGTTTGAGGTTTTCTTGATCAACGAGTAATAGCAAAAAATGCCAGCTTACTTGGAGACCCCCCATTTTCTAAACATTCTGGTGAATTGATGTTTTCCACTATATATAAGATGCAAAATGATTTTTAGCAAGGACTGGTAAAAATTTTATCTATCCACTTAATCACATGTGAATTTTATGAGGTGGGTTTGACTACTGTTTTCTGTCCCAGTGTGAAAACTCCCTTGTTCTAAATGTCTTTGATAGAAAGATGTTCCTCCGGGCTATGGAGATAGACTATTCAATTTAGAAAAATATAAAATGAGGGTGTTGGGGATGATCAGGCTGGATTGTTGGTGAGGTTGGGTGGCACTGGGTTGAGGTCTAACCCGAAGGAAGACAAAGGGGGATCATCAGGCGCACAGTTCAACCACTGAGTCCAGCAGCGATCATGAGGAAATAAATGGCAACAGAAATGAGTGGGAGTGAAAACCCAGCTCTGACGCTGGACCGCTGATCAGATCCCAGATCAGCTCACACCAGTGGTACCACTTTGTTCAAATCTCTTAATCTCATAGAGCTCAGTTTCCTCACCTGTGATATGAGAAAAATAACAAGTTTTTGGGGGAAGATTAAATGAGATGATACATATAAGGTGGTTTAGCACCAGGTCTAGCACACAATGATTGCACGATAAATAGTAATGATTACTATTCATAAATGGGACCGGGAATGTGGTGCCTGGGTGGCGCAGTCAGTTAAGCACCCAACTCTTGATTTTGGTTCAGGTCATGATCTCAGGGCTGTGAGATCGAGCCCAATGCTGGGCTCCACACTGAGCATGGAGGCCGCTTAAGATTCTCTCTCTACCTTCCCCTCTGCCCCCCACCCCTCAAAATCCCTCCACCGGCTTGCGTGCATGCACACTCTCTCTCTCATAAAAGAAAAGTGAGGTAGGATAAAGCAAGGGAAACTAACAATTGCATCAAACCCAATGGAAATGTACAAGGAGGCCTAATTTACCCATCCAGCTGACTTGCAAGAGGAATAATGATAACAAGAGAACAGCTATTATTTTATTGCTTTCAGTATGTGCCAAGCACTGTTGTTAGCCCTCACATATATTAACACATTTACCACAACAACCGTAAGAGCAGGACTGCCATTCATGCGAACTCCCATGAAAGGACCATCATATAGGAGGAAGGCTTCTGTGAGAATAGCCTCCAACTTCACTTAGATTATCTTCATGTAGATACACACTTTTAAACCAGTACCTTCAAGGAAATAATCTCCTTGGGGGACGGAGGCCCAAAGGGCTAACTTAAAGCTCTCATAAACCACGGGACATTAAAGAAACTACTAGAAAAGTTTCCACAGGCAAACCTACCCCCGATTAATGTTCTCAGATAGAGAGGCGATCAGGCTTCAGACAGTACATGAACTGGATGCAAGATAGGATCATAGCTGAATCTGGAGTTCAGATCAGGTTCTGTTCTCAGACCTTATAATATCTGGTCATTTTATTTCAGCTCACGTGGCTGCCAGAGCTGCCCAGGACTCAATGCCAAGGCAAAGAGAAAGCTTTTAAAAGAGATTTGTTGAAATTCTGTCACAAGGTCCCATAAACAATTCCTGTCTCCTTCCTGTATCCTGTTATAAATTGTAATCTATATTTTACCTACTGTACAAATATAATTATTCTTTTGTATAATATTCTCAACATCTTCATTTGATTGCTTTTAAATACTTTTCAGCTTATTATTATGTCTTATCTGGGTTTTTTTGGTTTTGTTTTTACTTGTTTGGTTTGTTGGCACCTATCCTTTCAGAAGTCACTTGACCTCTTGAGTCAGTCACCTCCCTCTTATTACCCAACAGCCTGACAAAGATCCTTTTCTAATAAGAGTAAAACATGAATTGGTTATAGGTTGTTTTTTATGGTTTTAGTGAAAATCAAGAAACCAATAATAATAACAAAAATGCCGATTTGATACCAGTGACACATTAGGGTTAGTGATTACATGGTCTTTCACCAATTCCTAAACCCATTGTGTAGGAGGGTAAATCATAGCTGGGTGACATGACACTCTTTGAGGGTAGTGAGAATAATAATTCTGCTTTGCAAATATGGAAAGCACTAAACCTATGGCAGAAAAAAAAGAGAGAGAGATTCAGTTGTTTTTGTTTCCTTAGCCTTTTAGATTTTATACTTGAACCTCTTTCCCAAGGGCTGCCACTTTCTCCGTCCATCATTGTGCTAATGCATTGACCTCAAATTAAATGACAATTAGGATATATCTTTCAGGATGTGAAGATATCTGGATGAAATGTGAATCATCCCAGTGTATTATCTAAGTGATGCCAAACACAAAAATGTTTGGAAACAACCCTGATGTTTGGTGTCATAGAAACAAAACAATCAGTTGACCATTGAATTGTTCACCTTTCAATAGGGTGTTTTGGCAACACAAGGATCCTTCTCAATTCACCTTTTTCTCTAGGGTGCCTGGAGCTGTGATTTCAACTCTCAATTATTTTTCAGATCAACTCAGGAAGTTTGCAAAGCCAGGGCTCATTTTGAATGGGTGAGCACACCTTAGAAGTCTGGTAAAGGCACACCTTTTCTGGGACACGCTCTTTTCCTCAGATAATGCAAATCTCACTAGCTCTCGGGTCTATTTCTCTCTCTCTCCCTCTCTCTCATAGACACACACACACACACACACACACACACACAGAAGTCATCACATTCAGTTTCTGCCTAACTCTTACTTGGGGGAAGCTGCCATTATTAGCTAGTTTCAGGGCTCAGGGACCTATTGTAGGGGGGATTCCTTAGATAATTCAGATAGACATCTCAGGAGAGCATTATCTGCTGTTATAGGTTGGATAAGCCCAGCCCACTTAATACTTATGTTCTGCAGGATCCCAAAGGAGATCAATTTTTTTTTTTTTTTAAGTCTTACAGGAGATGTTGATGGCAGTGGGGAAAGGAGAGTCACTCTGCCCTCACACTCCCTTGGACATTTATACAGGCCGTACCCTTGTCCAGGGAGGCCTTTTACCTTTATCCACCTGGCTAAGGCTTCACGTCCTCCCTAAAGACACAGCCTCAGTGTTTCTGTGAAACTGCAAAATCTGTCCCCGTGTGGGTGGGTCGCCTTTGCTTGTCCATCACTCTCTGCCACACCCGGGTTGTTTTGGATTCACTATTGCCCATCCCAGACTGTGAGCTCTTTGTGGCCAGAGGTTATGTCTTACCATCTTCGTAGTTCTGAAAACTTACCCAGGGCTTGACAGCTAGTCAGTGTTGGTAAGTGCCACCTCGCAAAGCGTTTCCTTTTCCCTAAACCAGTGTACTTACTTCACAAGTAAACTTTAGCAGCTGATGGCAAATTGTGTGCATATGTGTTTCTGTATATTATAAACAGTCCAGCGAGGCCTCTGTGTGTTCTGGCCCAGTCCTGAGCTCCATAAAGAGTGACTCACCTTTTTGAGGTAAGGGTTCACCTAAAATGGCTGGATGTGTGGGGAAGGGGGAGGCAATCAGTGGTGTAGCTGCTGATGGTGGTTAAGGAGAGTGCTCACAGAACTACAGATCTAACAACCCCTTTTCAGAATCCCTAAGGAAGAGTTGCCACAGTATCTTTTATTCATTCAATCAACACATGATTTGAGGGCCTACAGTGTGCTGAGACAACAGTAATGAGCAAAACAGAAAGAGTACAGTCTTGGGATGTAATATGTAATAAGTTACAGTAAATACTGCCTACAAACCCAGTGAGCCCTTTAAAAAAAAGACAAGGATGTGAGATGAGGGGTGAGTGTAGGAGAGTCTGAGTGGCCCTGAGTAAAGCATGTTTGAGGGAGAACCACAGACAGGAAGGAGTTCACAGGGGAAAAAAAGTGACTGCCCTATTTTGTCACAGAGAGAAAGGGAGGGTAGCCAGGAGAGGTCAGAGGTGAACCTGTGGGGAGGGAGGTTGGGAAAATGGAGAGAATATGTGAGAACTCCACTCTGAAAACGATAATTAACAACTCAACTCTCAACCTCTGCTCTTCAGCAGAAAGAGCTCTACAATCGGAGATAGTAGTTCTAAAATACCTCAGGACAAAACTGGCCACGTGGGAGGCAAGTATTTCTTGTAGGGAACCTGTTCTTAAAACTTTCCCAGCAATCATGTCAGCCTCAGCGTCCATGAAAGGTTGGACACGAGTTGAAGCTTCGGTGGGCAAGGCCCACAGAGGCCTTACACTGGAATGTAATAATCCCGTGTCTTTGACTTGAGTACTGTAATTTGCAAAAAAGGGGGGGAAAAAAGGAACTTTCAGAGTGCAGTTCAAAGCCCAGCTAGCTTAGAAGATGGCAAGAAGCAAGGACCATACCATGGAGGAGCATGCTCTGAAAACAGGACTCGGCTGGCTTCTGTCGGTGTGGCTCGTGTCCAGGTAGGGTTCCAAATGTTCCCATCCTGCGCAGGACTCTGCCTGCTTGGAAACAAAGCCAGGTCGGTGCTGACTTTAATGGCCTTTTCCGTTTCTCTCTCAACAAAGATTAAAGTTTATAGTGGTGCATTCCGATCTTATTAAACACTGAGCGGGCCCCCCATCAGAAATTTCAGGAAATGAGGGACATAGCATCCAACACAGTACAAATTCTTTTGTGTTTCTTCTTCTGCGAAGGGGTGAGTTAGGCCTTCAAAAAGGGGATGAGGCAGCTTTAATAATGAGAAAAAAAAATGAAAGGAGAAGGGAAGAAAGGTGCCTTAGTTGTCTCGGCAGCTGATCAACAAAGAAGCAGTCGTGAGCTGTAACCTCTTGGAACTGCAGTCTGGAACATGACACATGTCAGCCTATGATAAATGGTGCAGAATGTGTGCAATTTCAAGCGCAATGCCCTTGAGATGCTCAGGACCCCGATCGCAAATGTTATTGTTAAATTAAACCTTAAAGGAAGGATTGGAAAGAAGGGTGGGGGTGGGGCAAGGTGCTTATATATATATATACACATACATATATATATATGTATGTATATAATAAGAAATGCACAAAAGGAGGAGAGGAGGAAATAACAGGCCAAGTGAAGACATAAAACTTTCTCTTTCTCTTTTTCACCTAACTGAATAAAAAAGCATCCCCTGAAAACTATCCAAGATAGAAGACTTCTGTTTGTTTTCCCCTCATTCAGTGTTCCAAATTACTTTGATTGGCATAGCTAAGTTATACCCTCCGGTTTGTACATTTGCTCTGATCTTTTATTCTCATCTTTGGGCATCCTGACATCCCTGGCTCTCTGTTTTGCTTTCGCATTCTGTGTGTAATGCACATGAGATGCATGTGAGTATGTGCATGGTGTGTTTATCTAGTGCTAATAGCCAAAAAACTCTCTCTCCCACCCATCCCCTATTGACACACCTCCAACACCTAAGCTAATTGATTTAATGCAGGAAACACTGGATGAAATGATATAAGGCAAAGGGGAGGAGGAGAGGATGTTGGAGGAAGGGGATATGAGTCTGAGAACTGGTTAGCTACAAAGGCTCCAAGTAATCAGTGATGTGAGTGCCATGAAAAACTAGCCAGAGAGATGACAATGGAAAAACCCGTGCAAGTAAGTGAAAATCGGGATAGCAAACTGTTAAGAGTGAAGTTTTATCGATTAATGAAAAGTAACAAAAAAATAGGTAGGAAAATTGAGCATCTTTATCATGTGACCATGCCTGCCAATCACAATCTGGAGTTTCCCTCATGGACTCAAAGTATCACTATTGGTCTAGAAGGGGCTGAAGCAAAGGGATTGGCTAGTACAGAGAGGCACATAATTGTGTTCTGGATGGAGTCCATGCTGAAGGGATTGATTTACTTTCCCCCTCCCCACAACACATTCAGATGAAAGGATGTTTAATAGAGGGGAAAAAATCCAGATTACAAAAGAAAGGGCACCCAAGGCTTGTTTTGTGCATTTTGGCCATGGTTGCCTAGCGTCTTTGAAAACTAGAATCCTTTTTTGGTCTTTTGGAAAAGTTCACCCAGGATTCTTGTTATTAAAGAAAATAAACATCAGACAAAACAGGACTTTATCAAAACTATAAATAATTCAATGCAGATGGATTTTAAAAGCAAGCAGATTTTCAGAGTGTGGAGCACGGCAGGGTTTGGGTAGAAACAGAGGGAATATAAACAGAAAAAAGAAATGAAATTATGAACTTGTTGAGGAAAATAAATAGACACATAAAACTAATTGAAAAGAAAATAAAGAGGGATCACTCAAAAAACAAGGCAGCCTTCCCAGAGTTCTGTGCAGTGGCATGCTGTCTGTGGCCATTGACTCAAGACACCCTAGCTGAAAGCCATCAACGAGTGTAGCCCGCTGGTCACCAGAGCAAATATGGATAGGTCCCTAGTTTTATGTACTTTACAGTGAACTCCAGTGAGATTGTCTCTGGCTCAAATCAGTGTCAAAACTGTGGTTAGAACCCAGTGAATGGGGGTCCTTGGTCCAGTGCCTTTTCTACCACATGACACCAGGAGTGGTATTAACTTCTACCTAGCGTCTCAACTAAACATAAAACCCAGCTCCCACTGCGCCCAGGACCAACTCATCAGGCAGTAACAGTTTCAATCTGGCAACTCCTTTACTCCTCAAATTCAATACTACAGGAGATGACAGAAGCCAAAGGAAATGGAATTATGTATTTAAGCAATACCTCTGGAAAACTTCAAAGGGGAACATGGGTGTCTGATGAACTTGGAAGATGTTGTAATTCTTTGGGTTGGGAGGAGAGGTTGCATTCCCTGAATTGTGCAGGAGAAAAATGCCTCATGGGCCACAGGGTGGGTTATTTCCTCCAACAAACCCCCTTCATTCTGCTTTGCAGGTCGGAAGAGAAGGAAGGAAGATAGCCTGCAGCTCCAGGTGAAGCAGGAAGCAGCCTTCAACTGCTGTCACGGTCCTTGGTACTGGTCCTTGCAGATATCATAAAGCTAACTGACAGTTCTTTGTTGAAGGTGGATTCATCAAGTCTCACTGTGAATTATGTGTGCCAGGTAACAGCAAAGGAGCTTCTTGTTTGGTTTCGTTTGGTTTTTAATAACTCTTCCATGACAGTCATGAAGTGGATCATGCTAGTTGGCAAGATATGTGGAACCAGTTTTAAAGGAGTCAACAAACACTTTGCATGCCTCTACTGCAAGAGGACTCCTTTAGCAGCTCCTGGAGATGGAAAATGACAAATTCCCATGACAGCCAGCTCCGGATCACACAGCTGGGGCCAGTCATTCCGTGGCAGGCACGTGAGCATGAGGGCCCTCCGCTGTGCCTCAGGGATGTTTTCAAAGAAGACGTGATCATTTTGAGTTGGCATCTGAGCCAAGAAACGTTGACTGCAACTATCACAGCACGTTCTTCTTTCCTTTGGAAAGTCACGGGCTCAGACATTACCTGTAAAAGACAGAGGTCTAACCAACAATGTTTGAGAGTTGCTTTGCATCCTTGTGGGGAGAGGACTATAAGCCTTCTCTCCATCAGTTGAACATGTCATTTTACCTTATTTCAAATGCAAGTCCTTTCTTTTCCAGTATCATGACAATTAGCTACCTAAATATTGTTGGTACAAAGACAGTAGAGTCCACATCAGAATTCCTATTCATATGGTGTATGTGTCCCATCCCCTCACTGAGAGCAACTCAGCATCCTCCATCTAGAATCTCAGATCCAACCTTTCAGGAAAGCAAATGCCTTGGGAGGGCATCCTTTCTGCAGTAAATGACTAGGGTAATTGCTACTAGAGTGTTTTTAAATGACATATTTGCAATCAAACTCCAATTTCAAATTACCCCCACTGGCAGCCCTACCTTACAACAATTTAGAGAGCCTGATATTACTGACATGTGTATGCATTGTTTGAAACAGGAGGAGTAAGGGGGATTCACCAAGAGCAGCGCTTACATGGTCATGACCCAAATGTCATCTACTCTGAGTGAAGAGCATTCATTAAAAAAAAAAAAAAAAAAAGATTTCTTTTTGTATTTTATTTTTTCTTTTTAAATCTACTTCATAGCTCTGGTCCTGCCTCCTGCATTGCCAACATTACTACCTAAATCTAAGGCCAATCCAAATTCTACCCACTTAATCTCTGGCCTAGTAAAACTTCCCTCTCTCAGTTTAATGAGAACTTAGCCCAGGGGGCACCTGAGTGGCTCAGTTGGTTAGGCGTCCAACTCTTGGTTTTGGCTCAGGTCATGATGTCGGGGTGGTGGGTGTGAGCCCCGCACCGGGTTCTGCACTGAGCATGGAGCCTGCTTAAAATTCTCTCTCTCTCTTTCCCTCTGCCACCATCCCACTCCACCCCACCCCTGCTCTCTCTGGCACGTAAGCATGCACTCATTCTCTCTCTAAAAAAAAAAAAAAAGAAGAAGAAGAATTTAGCCCAACAAGCAAAAGAAACAGCTCTGGCAGACGAGAGAGTTGATTAGAATGGCCTTCTCCCTGGGAATCCAGACTTCAAGCTCAATGCTAGGTTGCTATTCCTATTTCCTATGAGTTAATGTCCTAGAATCATTAGCATTGCTCTTAAGGACATCAATCACCAACTCTACCCTCTGGTCGTAGTGAATTCCTTCATTGACAATTGCTATGATCTGTATACTTTTTATTTCTTGGGACAGGGTTGTTCTGTTTGGAATGACACTTCCCTTCTGCTCCTCATGTACTAGGAGAAATCCAAGTTATCTGTAAAGAACCTTCAAGATGACATGAACTTTTGATTATGGTCCCCTGCCTCCTATCCTCATTTCCTCTCTCCCACAATATGTATTGAGCATCTATTATGATCCAGGCATAGTACTGACTACTGACTATAGTAGTTAGCAGAAAGATGTGACTCTCGTTCCCATGGAAACTGCAGTCACCCATGCTACCCTCTTCCTTCCATCCTGTAGTATTTGGATCACACCACATCAGGGGCACCTGGGTAGCTCAGTTAGTTAAGCATCAGACTCTTGATTTCAGCTCAGGTCATGATCTCAGGGTCCTGAGAACAAGCCCCAAGTTGGGCTCCCCTCTGGGCGTGGAGCCTGCTTAAGTTTCTCTCTCTTCTCTGCCCCTACCCTGCTCGCTGTCTAAAAGAAAATAAATGGATCACACCACATCAAATTAAAGTTATTTATATTCGCTTCATATTCATAGGACACAGTGGGCACTGCATGACCCCAAATCATGCTTGATTCAGTGCCGTACTTCTGTACCTGGTGCAACGTTCAATAAAGGTTTGTTGAATTAATTTTTTTCTTTAAATCTATAATATCATGATAAAGAAGACAAGCCTAATCTTGAATTAATAAAAAGGAAGGTGATTCATTAGCAAGATGGTGAACAGTAAGGTTAAAAGAATTGGCTGGAGCACTGATTATCTCAGACTCTCCTCGGGATCCAGTGCTGAGTCTCTGATTGAGAGGACAGGTCTCAAACACAGAGAAAGGTTCCAGATG